ATCTGTTTCATTTACTTTCGTTCCCGTTGGTAATGACAGCCTATGGCCATTGTGGAAGAATACAAGTGAGATATCTTAGGGTTGACAGATAGTTGACAGGGTGTTCAATATGGCGATGACAGTGTGAACAATATGGTAGCCAATATGGCATACAACACCGAATGGCCCGAAGTAGCCAAACTACGACCCGAATGAAACGCTTCGTGAAAATCCAGGGTTGCGAAGTGGTATTTTGTTGGAAAATATAAAAGCCAGGATTTTGTGCAGCGCCGAATTTTAACAAAAGAGGGTTTTGTGTTCTCAAGATGAACAGAAAAGGGTTGCTGTGCTGTTTCGTTTTAAGCTTAGTTTAATCTTAAGGTACCTAATTAAATATTAAAAGGAGACAAAAATTAAAGCAAAAATTTAAAATATATGTACATATCTGAAAATTTTAAATAAAATATATATTTTCACGAGAGACAAATTAAATAAAATGGGTTAACTTTAGGGGAAATATACTTATCAGATTGGGTCAGATAGCGCTTTTACGTTATAAATAAAAATAATTCCTACTTAAATTTTATATAATTTTGGTAACGTATTTCTAAGCTGACCCTGAGATCTATGAAATAATACATATTTATGTGCATATATTGTGTTGATCATGCTCTAAATCGCTAAATAATTCTTGCAGCAATCAGCACCATTGGAAAGTGAAGTGACAATAGGCTGGTTTTCTTTATACAGCCCGTTTTAAATTCGTATTATTGTTATAATAAATTACAATTATTGTTTGTTTCCATTTCGGTCAACCGCGCAAATTATTTATTAAAAAAATGTCGTTTAAAAATAGCAAGTTTGTTTACTTTTGAATAAGACTTTATCGAGTGCGCTATAAAGACAGGGGTATAAATGCTGTGAAGAAATATATGTTGAGTCCAATCGGTTTTTTGCTAATCCGGTTTTTGTGTAGGTATAAACAAGGTATATTAAAAAAATAAATCTCCATGAAAAAATATCGTTATTTTCGTATTTAAAATTAATCGGAATTTTATGGGGGGTTATAAAAACTCGTTTTAATTGAAACTTTGTTTTTTCGGCTATATTTGTTATTATTTATTGGCCCAGATGCAAATATTGAATGAACTAACATATTTTAAATATTTACGGAACTACCATTTGTATGCAACCCTGCCTATCCTGTATTCAAGTAGATGTAATTCGAAAAATTTAAACGGATTTCTTTAAATCAACCTGAGCTGCGGACATATTGCGAATTCATTTTAAAACATTAACCACTACATTAGTTGTGTTTTTTTACAAATTATCCAGTAACTTGCCAGTAACTCTCCAGTAACTTTATTTCTAAGAATTCGCTCTCATAGAAAAAGTTTGCAAAAAAGTACGCGAACGCTTTTCCAGTAATAATTTACAAGTTTCATGAACAGCTGATAAATTGGTTGTTTATTCGCAGCAAATTCCTTATAAAACAATATATTTTGTATTTAAATAGGTTTATTTTGTGAAATTCAACAATAAAAAGCCACAAACAGTTTCGTTATTAGTTTAAATTTCATCCAGCAACATGCGATCAGCTGTTTTTCGTACTGGCAAATTCTTACAAGTAAAAATTTATCCAGTAAAATCCAGTAAAAACTTGCAACTTCAGCTGTCATTTTTCGCTCTCTCAATTTCCCTTACTTTGCAAGTTTTTGCGTACGAAAACGCCAAAACATGAAAATTCGTAAAAACTTTTACTGGATTTTACTGGAAATGAGTAAAAAAACGCAACTATTATATTAGTATTAAATACTTTCAATTAAGAAACAATTCTTATTAGAAAATAAATATGAATCGGTTTATTTTAAATATTCCAATGTATATTTTTTGTTAATGCAGATAGTGCGGATTTAACGTATTTTATAACCGTTACATGGGGAAAATAAATTTTAGGCAGATTGTTATTGACAATTTTTACATAATTTACGATTGCAATCAATTTCTTTCAAAACTATAATCTAAATGATTGCAAGTTGCATTTTTTACGATCAAAACAGATTCCAATATTAGGTATATTATGCAAATGCAATCCAATTTGATTTGAGTTATTCAGTTTTAGATACATTTATATTTCTGTGTTCGTATGGAATAGTAGTTTATGTCGGGAAGCTGGCTTTAGTATAATCCGGCATTCCCTTTATTATTTACAACACAAGGAATTTTTTGATGACCCTTAACAAGAATATGGACGTGCTAGTATCGGAACTATTTCTTGCACGTTTATTTATCCAAAATTTCTTCAACGGCTCGGCGCCAGTGAGGGTATGCTGCGAATGCCGCATTATACTAAAACCAGCCTTTCGACAGAAGCTACTATTCCATACGAGTGGAGCACGTGCGAAATGCGGATTTTCCCAGTTGCAGTACAGCAGTAACTCGACACCTTCCTCACCAACCGCTCTGTCCTCTATGAGCTTCTTAATGTAACTGCAAATAAAAGATGAAAATTTGAGAAAAAATACTATCACAGCGTTTCACTTGTAGCGTTTCACTCTTGTAGTATATTGGCTATCAGGCACCAGAAAATTTCCATCACGCATTCCATATGCCACCGATTGTCGTGGATCAATTAAAATACTGTCATCACAGCTTTTTGGTACTCCAGCAACTGGTGTGTCTTTGGAGGAGTTATGTGGAGCTGTTGCATGACTAAAATCAATTTGGGCTCTTTGAGAACTGGCTTGTTTGTTGCGCGCTATTGGCATCAAATTAGATTTCCAAACGGGCAACTGTTGAATACAGGAAAAAATGTATTTTATATGGTTCCGCTAAAGTGCACTACTACCGTGTATAAATTGGCCGACCTTCTAATAAATCAAGCAATCTTATTGTATCGTCATCGCCGCCAGTCACCAAGAAATTTCCACTTGGGTGAAATGCAACATCATTCTCCGGCGACGAATGCACTGTATTAGCTCGCCTTCAGCTTTGTCAAATATCTTAACGCGGTTACAACTTAATGCTAAAGCCACCAGATTGCCGTCTGGATGCCATGCCAGCTGTCGTCTCATACCTCTTCCCCCGGTGAACGTTCGCATACATCGCCTGAAAATGTATCGCAAATTCTTAACTTGTCGCCGCACGATGAAATGAACTTACCATTAGGGCTGAATTTTGCTGCGCGCACCCATTTGTGTGTATTTTGATGGCTGTTCGCCATTTTTCTAGTCTGCAAACGAATAAGCTGACGAAGAAGCAAACAAATTCAAGCACATTGTTGCATTCTACCGTACATTTTAAAAGCTTTAAAATCTTAAAACATATGTGAAAAACTTTTATAATCTGAATATTTCTAATGTCGCAATCAAAACCAAATTTTATAAATAGCATTTTTAAAAAACAATCATCTAATATTTTTCAAGTTTTTGGGCATATATGTTACCATTTGAACAACAAATACTACCAAGTTTTAAGAGACTATTTAATGCAACTCAGGTCAAAAAAGCACACTTTAGACCAAAATAAGCAACTCTAAAAAACAGATGATCGCAGCTGTGGCCCAGGATGACGTCTATTGCTAAGATATCTCACTTGTATTTGTACACAATGCCTATGGCGATCAAATAAAAAAAAAA